TATGTTTGTGGTTGTTTGAGTCCCTTTGAGGAGAGCACCTGGTGATGAGCAAAAGTGACTCATTTTTGATGCAGGTTATAATTAAACGGGAAAGTGGATAATTTAAAATAATATTTGTTTGAATTGTGCAGTGCAAATCTGTCTGTACATAATAAGAGGTGAATCAGCAAGAACATTGCTAAACAAATGCTTACAGCAGGTGGGATTCTATACAAATGTCTTGATTTAAAAGAACTACTATCCTCCGCGATGGGAGAGAGAATTGGTTCTTCTTGGAGCTGAATTGGCTCCAAGGTGAGATGCTTGGCACGAAATGTCAGAATCAAGTTAATCCTCTGCGGAGGTTGTGGTAGTCCGGTTGCTGAGCCAGTCAGGTTCACAGTACAATACAATACAAAGTACAAACTTTGTATTTTGTATTGTATTGTCCAAGGCACTGTCAGCGATTTGGACCCGAGCAGGGGGGTGGTTTGGGGTAAAGGAGGGTGGAGGGCAGGGAGGGTAGGATGGTGGCCGAAGGCACAGTCGAAGAGGAGGGTCTTAAGACGTGCCTTGAAGGAGGCAAGGGAGGGAGTGAGGCAAAAGGAATGTGGGATGGAGTTCCGAAGGGTGGGTGGAGAGGCTGAAGACCTGACTGCTGATGGTGGGCTGAGTGGGGGATGTGGAGCAGGCTGGAGCTCGCTGAGCAGAGGGAGTGGGCAGGTTGGTGGGGGGGGGGGGGTTAATAGGTCACTGAGGTAGGAAGGGACAAGCCCATGGAGGGCCTTGAAGGCGAACACAAGAATTTTGAACTCTTCTGAAGGATGGGGAGCCAGTGGAGCCGGGCGACAGTGCTGGTGATAGGGTCACGGAGCCTGGTGCAGAAGAGGACACAAGCTGCAGAGTTCTGGATGATACTCCCGGGCATTGCTAATGGCAAACCAGCCAGCCTGGCTCAGTGGGACTTGGAGGAGAGTCGGGTCGGTCACTGGGAGCAGGGATTCTTCCCACTTGGCCTTGTTAACCCTGAAAGACAAAACACTAACAAGTAGCGAGATCCTAGCTGGATAGGCAACAGGAAGCTTGACAGACAATGCTTTCCTTGGAAGGCTGTACAGTTTTAACTCTGGGATTCTCAAGCCTTGGTTCCTACCAACCTGTGCCTAGTACTCTCATTATTAGGTAAACAGGATGTGTCCCCTTCGGGGAGAGAGTAGGCATTCGATTCCAAATATGAAAATTTCCATGTGTAGGCGGCATGTATTTGTGTGTTACTTTGATTCAGTTGGTAGCACTTTCACCTCTGAATCAGAAGGCTGTGGGTTCAAGGTCCATGTCAAGATTTTCATATATTCTAAGCTGACATTCCCAATGCAGTGCTGGGGATGTGCTGCATTGTTGGAGGTGTCATCCTTCGTATGAGACATTAAACTGAGGGCCCTGTCTACCTGCTCAGGTGAACGTTAAAGATCCCATAGCACTATTCAAAAAGAGAAGGAAGTTTCTCCAGATATCCTGGTTAACAATTTACCAAATACAATTGGTCATTTGGCTCCTTGGGTATTCGTAGAACATTGGTGTGCGCAAATTGGCTGCCAGGTTAGTCCATCAAATATACAGTCACAATACTTTAAGGTGCATCTTGTGAAGCGCTTTCAGACATCCTTCCAACATGAAAGGTGTTGTATCAAATGTAAGGATTATTATTTTTATTATTATACATGGAACCCTATGTAGTTTGGATATTCTTAAGCATGATGATGGGTTTCTGTGCATATGTCACAGACATCTGGATGACCCAAACAAAAAATACTGTGTACAATTGGTATAACCACTTTCACACCGGGAGGAAGTCTCAAAGTACTTCACACGATATACTCTTAAAGTGCAGTATATTGTAAGCGAAATGTAACAGCTAATTTGCGCGTAGGAATGCCCTACAAACAGCCATGAAATGAATGACCAAGTTTATCTGGGGGATTGTTGACCATGACACAAGGAGAAACTGCCTTCTCTTTTCAAATAGTGTCATGGGATCTTAAATGTCCACTTGAACAGATGGGATGTCGGTTAACGTCTCGTCCGAAAGACGGAACTTTCAACAATGCAGTACACTCCCAGCGCTGCATTGGAGTGTCAGCTTAGACGATGTGATGCCAAGACCTGACATGAGGCTTGAACCTCCAACCTTCTGACTTAGACGAGAGTGCTAACAACTGAGCCTTGGCCGATTAGATAGGCAGGAAGCATCCCTCCCGGGGGAGAGTGCGCACTCCATTCCAACAATCTATCTCTGGGATTTCCATACGTCGGTGGGATGCATAAAGATCTCAGCCTGGTTTGGATACTCTGAAGTGTTGTGATGGGTTTGTGCGTGTGTCAGACACCTGGCTAACCCAAAAAAAGGAATCAGACTGACACCTAAATTAAAAGGATGCAGTTAAAATGAAGTACTGTATATACCACGCCTCACAATGTTGTTTGCATTGCTGAGATTTGGCTGCCCAGGTAGTGTTTCTTTTTCTCTCTTCATCGCTCAGAGCTACTTATCCAGTGCTTTGCAGGAAAGGGTCAGGTGCATCACACACAAAAATAATTTATTGAATCATCTTGTTTTCAAATGATTATCACTTGCTTAGTATTTTGAAGGGATGGTCATGATGGCTTCATTCCAAGAGCAAAGTCACAATTGAAGGTTTCTGAACTATGCCACATTGTTTCTGGGCATAAGTGTAACAACATCAGGGGGTTTCACTGAGTAGCTGAGCACAAAGAAAGCCACAAAAAGATCAACAGCGCACACTGTCTACTTAAAGTTTTATATTTCAAAACCCCTCCAGTCTAGATTTTTTGTTGAAAATATGATAAATGGGAGCTCATTTGGCAAGGCAGCCTTTTGCAGTCATGCACTTTGACTTATGGGCAGCAATATTTTACACAGATGTTGGCATTACCGGAGACTTGGCTGTTTGCAGACCTGGGTGGTTCAGCTTTCTGTTTTTAGTGCTTTGAAAATCTTTTGTTCATTTGTAAGATAGATTGGGTTCCATTTGAAGAAGATGGTTAATGTTCTTTGAGTTACCCGTTTGTCATTGAGAGATTGTTTGTAATTTACTACTGCCAGGTGTGCTGTCCAGCGCTGCCTTTGGTTGCAGGAATCAGCCATTTGGTGACACTAGTGAGTCTGCCTAAGATTGATACAACTATCAGCATTGCAAAGATGACTTTTAAACCCAAATCATTTTTTAAAACAAATACCCAGATCCCACAACAATATTTTTCAGTTTCTAATAGATAAAAAGAGATGAACATCCTGCTCCCTCTTTCAATCACTTGTTAGCAGTTGGAGATTATTCCCAAGCTTTTACTTGTAGGACCTTGCCAGCGCAAATAGCTGTCGTATTGTTTTACAAATATAGTCACCAAACTTGACAGAATTACCTGTGAAGCTCTTTGAGATGCTTCCATGCGATGTAGTACAGGTCCTACCTTTCATACTCCTCCACTTCGTCTCAGAAAACGGCTTCTCCTCCAGCCCCCGGTCTCTTCAACCGTGCCTTCAGCTCCCCTCTCGACTCTCTATCCCCTCCTCGCTCCCTCCCCTCAACCTGACCATTTCCCCCCTGCTAGGGTCCCGACCCAACTGTCCAACGCCTTGGGACGTCCTCCCGATGTGAAAGGCGCTCTATAAATGCAATCTTGTTGTTGTTATTTTTGTCTTGTGCGGCATTCCTCAGGGCTCTGTCCTCGGTCCCCTCCTCTTCACTCTCTACATGCTCCCCCTTGGTGACGTCATCCGCAGACATGGGGTAAATTTCCACACATATGCAGATGATACCCAACTCTACCTCTCTGCCCCCACCCTCAACTCCAGGACTACTGGTGTCCTGACCGACTGTCTGTCCAACATCAAGTCCTGGACGAGAGACAGCTTCCTCCAACTAAACGTCAGCAAGACCGAGGCCCTCCTGATTGGCTCACGCCAGCGCCTCCGCACCTCAGGCGCTGGCAGCATCAGCCTCCACGGCTGCACACTCAACCTCACTAAGCCAGTCATGAACCTGGGTATCTTGTTTGTCCCTGAACTGTCCTTTCTCCCCCACATCCGCACCTGACCGGCACCGCCTACCACCACCTCCGCAACATTGCCAGACTCCACCACTGCCTCACCCCTCAGGCTGCCGAAACCCTCACCCACGCATTCATCACCTCAAGGCTCGATTATGGAAATTCCCTCCTCATTGGCCTTCCAAACTCTTTCCTTCACAAGCTGCAGATCATCCAAAACTCTGCAGCTCGTGTACGCTCGCACACCAGGCTTCGTGACCCCATCACTCCTACCCTCGCCCGACCACTGGCTCCCCATCCCTCAGAGGATCGAATTCAAGATCCTCGTCCTCACTTTCAGGGCCATCCATGGCCTTGCCCCCTCCTACCTCTCTGACCTGTTGACTCCCTACCAACCCGCCCGCTCCCTCCATTGAGCGGGCTCCGGCCTGCTCCATGTCTCCCGCCCTACCATCGGGGGCCGGGCTTTCAGCCTCTCTGCCCCCCCTACACTCTGGAACTCCATCCCACGGTCCCTTCGCCTCACTTCCTCCCTTGCCTCCTTCAAGGCCAGTCTCAAGAACCTTCTCCCATCGTGCTTTTGGCCGTCCTCCCACCTCTCCTTCTTCCCTCACCCCTACACCACCCCTCCCCCATGCTCGGGTCCTGACCCCTGGCTGTCCAGAGCCTTGGGTCGTCCTCCCAACGTGAAAGGCACTCTATAAATGTAATTTTGTTGTTGTTGTTCTATAAAAACACAAGCTCTTTTCTTTCTCAACAACAGATGCATAGTCCCGACATTATTAGTCCAGCAACAGACTTTACTGGGTTCTGGAGCCAAGCCAGCTTGTTCTGCTTTACAAAAGCTTTGTGGCTAATCCCTCGACCAAAAAGTTTACTTTGCATGTCATTTTTATACTTTGTTACATCAGGTTCTGTATGATCTAACGAAAAGCATTTTCTGTTTTATGTAGGTACAGAGTCTGGTGGGGAAGAGAGAAGCCTTGATAAGAAACGGCTGGGCTAGATTTTCGTTTACTGTCTGAAGATAGTTAGTACTTTGAACCAAAAGTCTGAGGTCAGTGACTTGAAATGACTTGGATTTATTTGCATTACTGGCAGCTGAATACAATGACTGATGTTTTTAAAGCAGATTGACTGCCAACATCAGGGTGTTGTAGATCAGGTCTCCGAATTAATCCGCATATAATGCAGACACAAATTGTTTCCTAACTTGAAAGTTTGGTTGGTGAATTGGATTCAAATATTCACTTTATTTATCGTTTATTAACAAGCCAGTGCCAGTATCCTTTTTGGTTTTTTTAAAAATAGTTTTACCAAAACATTTTGATTATTATTCTAATAACGAGCTATAAACTTTAACATAAGCTAAAATGTGAACTATTGTAGCTGTTTTTGTTGTATTTTCCAAAGATGGACAATGTAACTTGTAGAATGTTTTATAGAGCAAAGGTGGGTAGATATCAGGAGCCTTTCATGCTGCATTTGTACAGCTGAGAGTGAAGCAACATCATTCTCAGGGATCTAGCTCTATGAAGCTCACTGAATACCTTGAATTTTTTGGTTCAATGCTATTGACTTAAAATGGAAGATTATACATAATGTTGGAAAGCAATCTTATATTCGGTGTTATTTGGCTCCGGTATCCTGCATGTCCCTTGTGTCCTCTGTTCCACCATCGGTGGCTTTCAGTCACTCCCCCCTGAAACTCTGGAGCACTCTTCCTCTAGCCCACTGCCTTGCCCCTTCCTTCCCCACCTTCAGAAGACCTTCCTCTTCGACCATGCCTACGGTCACCTCCCCCCAGTTCAGTGTCATGCCCCGCGACTGTCAAGTGTTCTTGGACGCTACCCTGCGTGAGCAACACTATTGGTTATGGTTGGTGGCGTTAATTTAGATGCTGATATTCCAGAGATTCCAAATTGAGACTGAATTTAAAGCTGTTCTCTAAAATTCCACAAAATCTTTAATTTTAAGATATTGGTTTTAAGCCTAAGGAGGTGACAAATTTGGGATCTATATTTCTGTTTCACACATTGCATAATGTCAGGGTTAAAACACCTGATTTGGGGGTTCACAACTTAGGATGTGTGGAACTCTTTAAAATAAAATGTAAGTTCTTCCTATATAAAAAACCTTGTTTTGAAAGGAAAGATCTCATGTTGCTACATAATAAAAAATACTAATTCTTGCATATGATATAGCGCCAATCATATCAGGATGATATCTTTTTAAATGCTCTTTACATTCAACAATATCGTACTGAACAAGTTAAACATTGATACCATTATGTTCTTACAACAACAGTAACAAAATTACATTTGTATAGCGCCTTTCACATCGGGAGGATGTCCCAAGGTGCTGGACAGTTTGAGTTTCAGACCTGAGCTGGGGGTTGGGATTGGGGAGGGTGGCAGGTAGGGGGGGAAGGAGGGTGATCAAAAGCACGGTCGAAGAGGAGGGTCTTGAGATGGGTTTTGAAGGAGGCAAGGGAGGGGGAGAGGCGGAGGAATTGCAGGATGGGGTTCCAGAGGGTGGGGGTAGAGTGGCAGAAGGCCCGCCCGTCAATGGTGGGGCTCGCGAGGCGGGGTACATGACGCAGGCCAGAACCCACTGAGCAGAGGGGGTGGGCAGGATGATAGGGGGTTAGGAGGTCGCAGAACGCTTCAGAGTAACGGATCCCGGGGCTGAGCCGGGGGAGGGGGAGGAAGGTGACCAAAGGTAGAAAAGAAAGGCCTTCAGCCAAGACCTGAAAATAGGAAGAGAGGGTCAAGGTGAAGGGAGTGAGGAAGGGAGTTCCAGAGCCTTGAGGCGTAGTGGCTGAAAGCACGGCCGCCAAGGGTTGAGCGGAGGACTCGGGGGACAAGGAGGAGGCCAGACCCGGTGGAACGAAGGAACAGGCACTGTTGTGAGGAGAGAGGAGGTCAGAGAGTTAGGGGGGTGCAGAGGAGTGGAGGGATTTGAAGACAAGGGTGAGGATCTTGAAGTCGATCCTCTCTGGGACAGGCAGCCAGTGCAGTGTGGCAAGGACGGGTAATCGGGGAGCGGAGTTTGGTGCGGGTAAGAATGTGGGCGGCAGAGTTTTGTATGACCTGGAATTTATGGATGGTAGTAGAGGGGAGGCTGGCGAGGAGGGCACTTGAATAGTCCAGCCGAGAGGTGACAAAGGCATGGACCAGGGTTTCAGCAGCTTTTGGAGTGAGGTATTGGCGGAGACGGGCGATGCGTCAGAGGTGAAAGAAAGTGGTGCTGGTGAGGGAACGGATGTGGGGGAGGAAGGATAATTGGGCGTCGAACCTGACTCATAGGTTGCGTACGGATTCGGAGAGTTTTAGGGGGAGGTCGGGTAGGTGGAGGAGGTAAGAGCCGTGTGATTTTAGACGTTGACGAGAGCCAAAGAGTATGGCTTCCGTCTTGTAAACGTTCAACTGAAGGAAATTTGCGCTTATCCAGCTCCTGATGTCTGACAGGCAGGCTGACAGAACATCAGGGGACTGGGGGTCGCAAAGAGAGGTGGAAAAATAGAGTTGGATGTCATCTGCATACATGTGGAAATGTACCCCATGTCTGCGGATGACATCCCCAAGAGGGAGCATGTAGATCGGAAAGAGGAGGGGGCCAAGGATGGATCCTTGGGGTACCTCGCAGGTGACCGGGTGAGAGCGGGAGGAGAAGCCGTTTGTGCAGATGTACTGCTGGCGGCTGACCAGAGCCTGGTCACAGATAGAGAGGATGTCACTTGTGACTTTCACAAGTGCAGTCTCTGTACTGTGGGCGCAGTCTCTGTACTGTGTAAGTGTAAAGCTTTAGTGCTAGGAGATGGCATGTTGCAGCTTCTAAAACTAATTCTACAGATTGGGTTGCTATCCCTCTCCAGGTCCCTACATATGTAGCGATCTAAAACTATGCTGATCATTTACATCCCCACAGAGAAGTACATTTACAGTCAAAGTGTCACCTGGCTGTTTGACAGTATAATCCTTTGCTCCTCTAATATATATTTAAATTTCTTCACTTTCTCTACTGCATGTATTTTGATGGACAAATGTAAATAAATAGGTATAACATTTCTGATCTGAGCCATAAGAACTGAACAAAGTCTGATAAATGGTCTCACTGGTGAGTTTTTTTNCGCCTTCAGTTGATCGATTGATGGGAAGGTTCTGCAATATTTCTTCCATTGGAGCTCAACCAAAACCCTAGAATATCTATCTGACTTTTCATCTTGCATTGGTCTAAGTTCATCCTGCACCATTCTGCCTTGGTAAACTATTTTCATTGTCCTAGTAGCTCAGAATTGATTATGTTCCAGACCATATTTCATTATTTGAATCCTCGTTTCCACCTTCAAATCCTTCCATGTCCTGACCCAACTGTACAGCGCCTTGGGACGTCCTCCCGACGTGAAAGGCGCTCAATAAATGGAATCTTGTTGTTGTTGTTGTACCCTCTGTGACCTCCTTCAACCTGCCTTCTCTCTTCGCCTGCTTCAATGTCTCTCGCCCACCATCAATGGACAATATTTCAGCCATTATGCCCCCTGCGCTCTGGAACTCCATCCCAGGGTCCCTCCAACTCATTCGCTCCCTTCCCTCTTCAAGGTCCTTCTCAAGATGTCCCTCTTTGCCCACGCTTTCAGTCATCTTTCCCCTCCCCACCCCTTTGGCTCCCATCCCCCAGCTCAGGTTCTCAAGTAGCCGTGTCAAGTCCTTTGAAACATTGTTCTAGCAATGTGAAAGATGCTATTTAAATGTAAATTATATTATATCTATTAATCTATTGCAGGGAGAGATCTCATTTGTACTCTTCAAATAATTAATTACTTGTGTTCTCCAATTTTGTACTTGTATTGTCAGTTATTCTTCCTCACAACATTTTACAAACTTGGCTTACATTTGTTTTCAAATGAAAGCAAGGTCAACTTTGTGAAACTCTTTTCATAACTTAAAGCTCCAAATCCTGGAGTCTTCCTTTTTGCTCTTTTGTGAACCCTCTTCAAAAGTTTAATATCCTTTTGAAGATAGGATGCCCAAACTGTGGCAAATATAACCTTTTCAGTGATCTATACAAGCTTACAGTAACGTCCTTTGACTTGCAGTCAATTGCCCTTGAGATTTATCCCAGTATGTGATTAACTTTGTTGACAGCAGCTTCACATTGACTGGATGCTTGTAGTGAATGGTGGGTAATCACCCTCAGACCCTTTTCCTTTGCTTATGGACATCCCTTCATTGTGTGCAGATTTCCTGTTTCCTGTTCCAATATACTTAAATTGCCTTTACTCTCTGCATAGTTCTAGGTTTTCTGCTGTTTGTGATCAATACATAATATAATGATTTGCATGTACGGCTTTGAGGATGTCGGAGTGGCCAGAATGAACTGTCTGCTTGCAAGCTTTATTCTTCTTCCTCCATCCCCGAAGCTGGTTCTTGTTTTCACATGCACTTCGACTTTTCCCAGACAATAAGTGGATTGTTGGTGAGGGGTTTTATTTGATGCAGGGAGAGAGGGTTACAAATAATACAGAGAAAACATATTACTCTAGTGCTGTTCCTCCTTGGTAACCAGTATGATTATGCAGGATGCGGTTTTAATTCTCTTAAGTAATTTATTGGCTAATGCTTTTGCTAATCCAGTAATGCTTACTGAGTCAGGCCTGATGTCATTTTGAAGAGATTAAAAATGCAACATGTTCAAATAGTATAGTGAATTCTATCAGTCATTCATTGTTTTGTCCCGTAAACTTTACTGACTTCCAGTAAAATTTCTCACTCTGGATTATTGAGTTCCCTTAACTCTCAGTAATGTAAGGCACTGTCTTTATGAACAAGTTTTCTAATTTCTTTACAACTGCAAAATACAATGGGATGAATTGCATTGAACAGCATTATGTCATTTCTGTGGATCACCCTGCACTCATGACTTACTCAAACAAAATAAACCATTGGCATACATGTTTGCTCAAGACCATGCCCTTCTAACCACAAAGTGCTGCCTCTGAAGGCAGTTCCTAGCCTGCGTTGGAATCCAACATCCTTGTCATCAAGTTGAAATTCTTCCACAGCCTCGCCTTCCCCACCTTCTGCACCTTTTTGAAACCCTACCACCCTGGCCGCTCCCTCTGCACTGCTGATATCATCCTACTCTGTGTCCTCCACCCTATCCGTCACACTATGGGTGGGTGAGTTTTCAGCCATTCTGCACCTGATCTTTGGCGCTTTATCCTGAAGTCCCTCTACTTCGGCCTTTCATCCCCACTTGGAAAGTACACCTTAAGACTTATCTTTTTGACCACACTTTTGGTATCCATCACTTCTTCCCCTTCTCCTTCAACCAACCCTGCTGCTCAATTAGCTGTGTGAAGCACACTGAGATAAAAGTACCGTATAAATTGTTGATGTTGAGTTGTGCAGAATGACAGGTTGGCTTGGCTCACTTGCTGATTTGGAAGATGCTTTTCTTTGCAGTACTTATATTAAAAAATGCTTGTACTGTGCAACAAAAAATTGTATTGTGGCTTCCTTCTCCCCCCGCACCCCTGATACCAGTTTGGCTTGGCACTAGCCAAAATAAAATAAATCCCAGACTTGCCCTTCAATATCTGTAGCAAAATTCCAGGACATGAAACAATCATGAGTGCACTTCACAAATTTCTTCCAGAGCTTTGTTTGTATGGAAATATATTCAATACATCCATGCAACTTATTAAAATTGAGATGAAGGTTAGCTTAAAAAGTGCTTTTCGTGAGGCCAGTTCTATATGAACGATATTTGACGTTGTACAATCTTTATTTTCACTAGGTTTTGCCTTTGTGAAGTTTGAACAATGCCAGTTTCTACGAGTGCCTTACAGCAGATGGCTGTTTACTTGGGAATAGTGTCCGGAGGAGGGTGTGCAGTAATGTATTACCTTATACAAAGTAAGTACATGGGAACTTAACTTGTTCAACCAATCTAATACCAAGATTATTTATAGTGTGCAGTAGAATATACCTGTCACATCAAAAAGATTTTCTTGTACATTTTCCCATTGGCACAAGGCTACAAATGGCTATAAATATGCATGGAAAAGAATTGAGGCGCTGACAGCAACAACAACAAAATTACATTTATAGAGCGCCTTTCATGTCGAGAGGACGTCCTAAAGTGCTGAACAGTCAGGTGTCGGGGCCCAAGCATGGGGGAGGGGTGGGGCAGGGGTGAGGGAAGGCAGAGAGGTGGGAGGGAGACCAAAGGCACAGTCGAAGAGAAAGGTCTTGAGAACGGCCTTGAAGGATGCAAGGGAGGAAGCGAGGAGAAGGGACCGTGGGATGGAGTTCCAGAGTGTGGGGGCAGGGAGGCTGAAAGCCCGGCCACCGATGGTAGGGCGGGTCGGGTGGGAGACATGGAGCGAGCAGGTTGGTAGCACGGAGGAAGCGAGCAGGTTGGTAGGGAGTCAGCAGGGCAGAGAGGTAGGAGGCGGCAAGGCCATGGATGGCCTTAAAGGTGAGGACGAGGATCTTGAACTCGATCCTCTGGGGGATGGGGAGCCAGTGGAGTCGGGCGAGGGTGGGAGTGATGGGGTCACGGAGCCTGGTGCGTGAGAGTACACGAGCTGCAGAGTTTTGGATGATCTGCAGCTTGTGAAGGGAAGAGTTGGGAAGGCCGATAAAGGAGTTCCCGTAATCGAGCCTTGATGTGACGAATGCGTGGGTGAGGGTTTCGGCAGCCTGAGGGGTGAGGCAGTGGCGGAGTCTGGCAATGTTGAGGAGTTGATGGTAGGCCATGCTGGTTATGGTGCGGATGTGGGAGAGAAAGGACAGTTCAGGGTCAAACAAGACACCAGGTTCCTGACTGGCTTAGTGAGGTTGAGTGTGCAGCCGTGGGGGCTGATGCTGTCAGCGCCTGAGGTGTGGAGGTGCTGGCGCGAGCCAATCAGGAGGGCCTCGGTCTTACTGACGTTGAGTTGGAGAAAGTTGGCCCTCGTCCAGGGCTTGATGTCCAGGACTTGGAGTCCTGTTACTCAGTGGTTAGAGCACTCGCCTTGCAAGTGAGAGACCTGAGTTCAATTCCAGGCAGGGCGAAATCTTGGGCAAGTTTCCTTACTCCATACGCCTAATAATAATCCCTCCAAAACAAGAAAACAATAATAAATTGGTAATTTTCAATCTATGACTGTTTGTGGGACATTGCTGTGCGCAATTGGCTGCCACGTTCGCCCACAAATATACAGTCAATTCACTTTACAGTGTGTTCTGTGAAGCACTTTGGGATGTCCTCTCGACGTGAAAAGCGCTATATCAAATGCAAGGATTATTATTATTATTATTATTGATGTCGGACAGGCAGTTGGTCAGGACCTCAGTAGTCCTGGAGTTGAGAATGGGAGCAGAGAGGTAGAGTTGGGTGTCATCCGTGTATATGTGGAAATTTACCCCACGTCTGCGGATGACGTCACCAAGGGGGAGCATGTAGAGGGTGAAGAGGAGGGAACCGAGGACAGAGCCCTGAGGAACACCGCATGAGACAGTGCGGGGGCTAGAGGAGAAATTGTTTGCCGCGACGAAGTGGAGGCGGTGTGAAAGGTAGGACCTGAACCATTCAAGCATTACCATTCGTGGATGCACTCTACACCTCAATGAGCCAGTAAGGAACCTTGGCATCTTGTTCGACCCTCAACTGCCCTTTATACCCTTTATACCCCACGTCCATGCCATGACCCGTTCTGTCTTCCCCCACTTCTGCAACATTACCCGGCTGTGCCACTGCCACTTCCCTCAGGCCGCCGAGATTATTACTAATAAACCTTCCATTTGATATAGCACTTTATCACACCTTCAATAGCACTTCACGGAATATACTGTAAAGTGAATTGACTATATTTTGTGGGCGAAACATGGCAGCCAATTGCACATGGCAATGGATTGAATGAACAAATTATTATTTTTAAAAAAGTAATTTTTGAAGGGATTATTACCCCCGGAAATGCAATGTGTCAATCAACTAACAGCAGGGGTTACTATTTACTGCTAGGTAAACAGAGGTATGTGGAATAAGGAAACTTGCTTCACATTTCGCCCTGCTCGGGAATCAAACCGAGACGAGTGCTTTAATCACTAAGCTACAAGACTCCAAATTGATTGTGCCAATTCCTGCTTGTCGGTTTTCCCAACTCTTCTTCCATTTCTGCAATATTACCCACCTCTGCCACTGCCTCAGTAATAATCTTTGCATTTCCTTGCAGTTGGAATTTGATATAACATCTTTCCTGTTAGGAAGACATCTCAAAGTGCTTCACAGGATTCACTGTTATATGGAGTGATTGCGTATATAGCAGCCTTATCCCAAAGTAGCCCAATGTCTTTACCATCTTTGGCTTTGTCACTTCCAGGCATTTTCCAATGCCCTATGTACCTTCCACAAGTTCCAGATCATCCAGAACTCTGTAGTCCACATTCTCTCCCTCACCCGCCTCCGTGAGCTAATCATCCCCATACTCCCCATCCCCCAGTTGGTCAACTTTAAGATCCTCATTCTCACCTTCAAATGCCTTCCACCACTGTATGTCTGTGATCTCCTATGACCCTATTCACTTCACTCTGACAGCGCTGACCTGCTTCATTCACCTCACCCATTCTGCACCGCCATTGACTGGCCAGGTTTCAACCGCATTGTCTCCGCAATCTGGTACTCTCTTCTGAAATCCTTCCATCTCTCCCTGTCTGCTATCTCTTTGTCTGTGCCTTTGGCTACCTTACAACCCCCATCTCCCTCCCCCAGTTTGGGTCCCTACATGAAAGATGTTATATATATGCAAATTGGTGGTGGTGTTGTTGACCTGGTAGCAGCATGTGCTATAGGAGCAGGTAACAACAGAATGACAGAATGTAGGTTCACACTCCTGACTACCCATCATTCTGCATTACTCCACTGTGTTGTCATATTGAGGTCAGGCAATGTACTACATGAGTCACGATAAGTAAAATCCATTGTGACTGCTACCTTTCCCTACCTTCAAATCCTCTTAAAAATGTATCTGTTAGATCTTGCCTTTGGTCTCTGGCTGCACCTTTGGTCAACATCCTCAGATTTCTCCTCCTTTCCTCCCTGCTCAGTGACTCTCATCAGTGTTGTGAGGTGCTTTGAGACTGCATCCTACATGAAAAGCACTATAAAAGTGTACCTTGTTTTCTGACTGCCAATAACTGTCTTGTACAGTGACTAAAAATGGGACATTTCTGAACCAGTTGGGTATACTTCGGTTATTTTGATGCTAAATTTTCACCCACAAATATACAGTCAATTCACTTTACAGTATATTCTGTGAAGCGCTTTGAGACGTCTAGAAAACGTGGAAACCGCTATATCAAATGCAAGTATTATTATTATTATAAATTAAACTATGCATTTAGTGAAAATTCTCTTACGAATACATTTTTGATTCCACAGAAGGCTTTTCAAAATCAGAATACTACAAGTTGGGACTCGAACAACTTAACAAACATAACAAAGCGTTAGAGATTCTGGGAGCTCCACCGCTGCAGGTCCGAAATATCAGACTCTTTGACAAGAGTAATTGTGTGGATGGAAACAGTGCAAAGGTAAAGTGCACTAGATAGAAGCTTACTTTTTTTGCAAATGTTTCCCCTTCCTCACCTGGGTTGCTGGATATTACTGTCCTAACTGAGATCAGCTAACTCACAGCACACACCAAGGGTTGACCTGGGATTTTCTCAACAACAAATTACATTTTTATATCACCTTTCATGTCGGGAGGAAGTCCCAAGGCATCATATTGGTTCAGCAACTCACAAAGCATCAATAAGCAACTGGTTACTTAATTCTGGATTAAAGATGACTTGTAGGTTATTTATGTGCATATTAGAAATCTCATGAAAGATCCCTTACAAGTGAATATTTCATACAAGCTTTTCTTTGCTGCACGCATTAATATAACATTACATTTGATATAGGGTATAATATGATTGCTCAGTACATAAATGTAAGAATGTGCTGTAAGAAGGTTGATGTTACAGATCTCATGGTACCATTTAAAACATGAGGGGAGTTTCTCCTGGTGTCCTGGCCAGAAATCCTCCAGATGAAAAATTGGTCACTCACTTCGTGGCTGTTTGTGGGACATTGCAAATTGACTGGCATGTTCACCTACAAAATACAATCACTACAACTTTGAGATGTTTCATTGTGAGAAGGTGTTATTATCAATGTAAAGATTATTATTATAGTTTGCTTTGTTTTGCAGATTAAAATCCCAGTAGGTGGAACAAAATCGGCTGGATATCTCCACACTTTTTCTGTCAGAGACACAGCACAGAAAAGGTAATTGTATGAATATAATTAAGTTCATTGGAATTTTAAGATTTTCGTTGGAGGGCGGGTGAGGAGAAACCTGGAAAAGTACAAAATGAATTTAACAAAAATCTTAGACCTAAATTTTCACCCTTGAATACACAAACACAATGAAGATGATTTGTCCTAATGGTAATGAAATATTTAAATAACTGGCTTGAATAAGCACAGATCAGGATTAAGGTACTGATTTATATGAAACAGGTTTTGCAGTTTCCAGAACTGTAGGCATCTCACTAATTCATGATTTGTATTATTCTAGTTTTAATAATAATAATCCTTGCATTTGATATAGTGCTTTTCACTTCTTCTCGACGTCTCAAAGCGCTTCACAGACTGTAAAGTGAATTGACTGTATATTTGTGAGCGAAACGCGGCAGCCAATTGCGCACAGCAGTGTCCCACAAACAGTCGTGGATTGAAAATGACTAATTTATTATTGTTTTGTTTTTTTGGAGAGATTATTATTAGGTGTGTGGAGTAAGGAAACTTGCCCAAGGTTTTGCCCTGCCTGGAATTGAACTCAGGTCTCTCGCTTGCAAGGCGAGTGCTCTAACCACTGAGCTACAAGACTAGTTTTGACCACTGCTGACCAGCACTCAATATAACTAGAGGAGCACCTCCTTACTTTTATATTCCAATTCCATTTGCCTTATTGACCACTTTCCATTCCTGCACACTCAGTTTGGCTGATCTATGGACTTGATTCCTGGACCTCTCTGCTCAACCAACCCTCGAGTACTACTTCATTCAGAACACACTCCCAAATGCTATTCTTCCATCCAATGTGTACTATCTCAGATCTGCAATGTTAAACTCTGACTGATCTACTTCTACTCGCTCACTTAATCTGTCTGTCTCTTTTCATTTTCACCTGTCCTCACAATTTACAACACCTCATAGTTTAGTGTCATTTGCAAATTTAGAAATAGTCTCCTCTATCCAAATCATTGCTATATAGAGTGACAAGCCAGGACTGCAGCACCAATCCCTGGGGGACACCATTTGTCAAAGCCTGTCAATCAGAAGGTCATTTTTATACCAACGCAGCCTTCTGCTTCCCAACCAATTTGATACAATACTCCACTTCAGCTCCATGTGTCAGGAACTGACTGGGAAGTGGTGCAAATTTGCTTTGACTAAGGTAAAATCACATTTGTAAACAAAAGTGACAATAATGGCAGAGAAAACAGCAATGTGCTTATACAAACTCTGAAATTCTTGAATTCCCACAAGCTGTATTTTGTAAAAATCAAAGATCTTAACTGTAGATTAAAATGGGAACAACTTTCAATATTAGCTCTTCTCTTACCAATGTTAAAGTAACTGATCAGAACAAATTCCGAGAAAGGAGAAAATATGTTTTGGTGATGAATTGGCTATTCAAAATTTATCTGTTATTCTTTCATTTTATTCACTAGGTGGTCGTTACAAGAAGCTGTACTGCAACTGAACAGTGGGCAGCATGTTTTGATTTACCCGTCAACCAAAGATGATGATCACCAATGAAGCAGGTGTGTGCCGACCCTTTGAGAATACCAGAGACAATATCAGAATTAAACCCAATGGGCCTGAGATCAAAAGCAGTATTCCTCCCATGCAACTAAAACACCAATGTGCTTTGAAAATGCCTGAACGAGCCTGTAATTGTTCAGCAATACAAGGCTGAATTATGACAATAATGAAATGAGAAGAAATGTTTTGAAAGACCATGAGAATGTTGATAATGTGTAAATGAAGAAAGTACACAGCTTTGGAATATTTGCCTATAGTGAATAAACTGCCTTTAGATATGACCCAACAACTTTCTGTGATTGTAGTTATCCCTACAAGCATCAGTCCCTTAAAAGCTTTCCCTTCACAGGTAGATAAGGCTATAAAAAGGCTGAAGGGGTCTTGGGCTTTATATCCAGAATGATAGAATATAAAAGTGAGGAGATGATGCTATCTATATAAAACCTTGGTAAGACCACATAGTAGTTTACCTGACAGACTCTGGAATTTGAACCTAGCAGATCGGGCCTAACATCAAAAATGTTTTTAAACAATTCCACACTGGAAACCTCCCACCGGACCAACTCTCCCAAGCGTGTGCCAATGCCACCGTCCTCGCTGGCCTTCCCAGTTGCCAGGGATATCTACTTTGACTCAAATTGTTTTGAGCAGAAAGTAGCTTATTCACTTAAATAACTATTTTTGAAAAATGGCAGTACTGCATTATAATTACACTTCACCAGAAATTCTGTCTCCCCGGACCAGATCTCCCGGCATTAGTCCGACAAGCTGGGGTTTGGAAATACAGTGTCTCCAATTCTGGTCTCCATACAATCAAAGGGATATAGCAATGATGGAAAGAGTACAACATAGGTTTACTTAGATGATACCAGGGCTGGCAGGTTACTGCTATCAGGATAGACTGAATAGGTTAGGCTTTTTTTTGCTAGAGAAGAGACCTTTAAGGAAAGAACGTAATAGAAGCATTTAAATTATAAAAGAGGTTGATAAGATTAATAGAAATAGGCTGTTTCCATTGGTTGGGGAGTCTGTAACTGGGGGTCCAAGTATAAGATAGTGACCAGGGGATCTAAAATTTAGGAGGAACTACTTGAAGCAGAGGGTAGTAAGATTATGGAACATGCTGCCTGAAGTGATGGTTGAATCAGATAACGTAGATACATTCAAGAGGAAGCTGGACCACCTGAGAGAAAGGACAATACAAGGATATGGGAAGGAGTAAAGGAAAGGTTGGAGACCCATATGGTGATAAATACTGGCACCAGATGATTTGGCTGAGTGGCCTGTTTCTGTATTGTACATTCTTTGCAAATCTTCTCTTAGTAAACATGCATTTTTCCAACAGCCTACATTCATCTGTATGACATTTCCCATTCCAAAGACTGAAAAAATGCTATTTTAGCAGTGTAAAACTGTGTAAAACTGAATGTGTATTTTGTTTTCCTTTTGTAGGTGGAACCGAAAATACTTGAATAAATTAGTATAATGTAAAGCGAGACTAGCATTTATTTTACACTGCTACACATTACAGGGCTTCTTCAATGCCTTGTCAGGAACAGCACTTCCCAATGTATAATATAGATTGTGTCAACTCTTCAGGAGAAGGGAGAAACCTAGAAGAAATGGTGACATTTCATAAGCAGGTCACTGAAGGTAAAATCTAGAACGCAATTACACCCGTTTACTAAAACTTTGGTAAATAAGCCACACACGCAAGTTTGAAGATAGATAAAAAAATGTGTAACGTACATCTGATTTCACATGACAAACCTTCATTTTTAATTGCTTAGTAAATTACCAAACCATGTATAGAAACAAGCAAGTATCCAGATATGTTTATTAAAAGAAATTTACATCTTCATAATAGATATTTAAAAGGATACAAAAACATAGATGTGCAATTTTTCCCTAGTGAAATGAGGTGTGCAGTGCTGTAGATAAAAGATACTGACTAGTAGTTAGTTTTACAGCATAGTCCCCAAAACAATGGCAATACTGTACTGCCAAAATTCAGTTTACTAAAAGGAGATTTAAACAGATTGATTTCTAAGAGATTTAGGGAAACATGGCCACCACAAACCTCGCAAATGGTGATTTACACCAAGAATACAATACTGTCTACATTTTTTCATGCAGAAACAGTCTTCAGCAGCTTCAGGAAATGGGATGGTTTTATAACTGAGGCTTTATTCCATTTAGCACCATTGCTTTAGAGGTGAACGCTACAGGCTTTTCATTTGAAAACCATCAGATACTGCTTCGAGGTCTATTAAACATTTAGGCATCATTGCAGTCAAACCCTCCCTTTTTATCTCTTAAAAGTCTGGAACTTTCTTGTGCCTACCCCATGAAATTGCTCATTTCAAATAAAGTTAAGGCTTGATACTTTAATTAACTTTTACAGTAATGGGGAGAAAGATTAAAAAAACTGTTTGCAGGACAAACTCAATACTTTTTTTAAAAAAACTAAGAAAATCTCTGGAAACATTGTATCTAACCTATTGGAGGCAATATTCCCTGAGCTCATTAAAGGAAAAGCACATTTGTCCTACAAAAATGATGCTTTTATTCTGTAGATTTTACAAACTGGTATTAAACTGAAAGCATCACTTGGCGTGAGCACCAGTTACTGTCTGGCTCCAAGCATTTTGAATAAGTTGTCATTTAGTGACTCAGTAAAACAAAATTGCTCATTCATTCTGGGGCCTGTAGACTGCGGTATAGAAAGCAGTATACCAGCATTCTCTCTTTTGCAAACTCCTACCCGGAGAATTTACAAACATTTCACACCAAAGTGGCTTAAAATGAGTTGGAAAGCTAACAGAATCTACTTACCCCAAGAAAACATTAATCAGCATTTAGCGCTTTGTTCTGTCAAAAAAAAACAATTCCTATACACTCAACTAAATTAATTCTGCAGTCCTTTGCATATCTACTATTATATACATGTCTAGTCTGTAAGGCACAAAAGGAATAACAGAACCCTTGCTGTCTGTGCAGCAAATGGACATTGAAATGGGACCACCCCCATTCTGGGCTTGGTAAGCAGTCATGTCCAGTCACAGAAATTTTAATTATGCATCATACAAATACAATAATTATTTCAACATGTCAAAATAAATCAAGATGCTTTCATAAACAATTTAACATAAGCTATCTAAAATAAAACTTGTGCCTTCATATTTCAAACATGCATATAAAGGAGGAATGTTATAATACCAGAGATAATAAACTCAAATGAGTGTATTATTTGTGAGTAACAAGTGTTGTCATTAGTTTGGGAACAGATACATCAAGTCTAAACTAAATGCCAAAGTGCATTGTTCACTGGTGTTGCATATCTGAAGTTTATTGCCTACAGATCACTGACATTAAAGAATTAGTGCACTTCTGTTCCACCCATTGTGCAAAAGCTAAGATATTGCCCAATAATACACAGCCCCTCACATTTTGTGAAACTGCTGCTGAACTGTACAATGAAGAAACATCCTTAGAACAGTGACTATTACTGCTCTACATGGCTAGGTTTGATGCATTAAATCCAGGAGACATGGCAAAACAGTTCTTGGCATTCAGACATTATGCTCCTACTTGGAGAATAACTGCAGCGGAAACAGGCTCACAGAACAAATGTTTTCATGTCCAGTCAATTACTCAACAAAAGCTACCAATCAGAGCCACCTTGTTAGCAGATGTAAAGTCTAGAATAGTATCAGTCATTTGCTTAGTAGATAAATTCTCCAGAAATCTCTTGGAGTGTGCTGAAGGGCTCTTCAAATTTGAAGCGTTTGGAGATGGCCTTTTGATCAGTTTTTAGGGTTTCTTTCTCTGACTGCCTGCACTGTGCCACTGTGTATGAAGCCATGACGATTAGCTCCTCCGTCTCTTGGCTCTGCTTCTCAGAGTCTTCTGGCGCTGCACTTTCAAGTTTTCCGCACGAGGCTTCAGGAACGAGTGCAGTTTCATCACTTTCGTGTGCCAACCACGGGTGCATGAGACACTCGTCGGCCACAGCTCGATCCCTGCCAAAGAAAATAGGCAAACACTGGTTGACAAGAGTGTGTCTAAAACATTTCAAAATAGATTTAATCGTCCAAAAAAAAACGTAAAATTCCTACAAACACAGGATACATAAATGAACTTCAATTGCACAACTAGGCATTCAAACATTCTTGTAGGAATTAAAACCTTAAGATACAACATACCAATGGCCCAGGTCGAATTTCCTGGTCTGCTGTTATGCTGGGATATTAAAGCACATAGTCTAACAAAGGGAAAATCTTTTATTTTCGTTCAGCCGGGTATCGTGTCTGACATGTGCAGAAACCTTTCACTTTGCTTAAGAGCATCCAAACCAGAGTGCTACATATGTAAATTTAGAATCATTAGAATGGAATGTCTCCCCCTGGAGGGATGCACCCGCTCGGCTAATGCGGAGCATATTAGACTTAGGTTCATGAGAGCCAAGGCTTGGGGGCCTCAAGAGTGTGGAGTTCAACCAGCTAAAATTGTATAGCTTGTCATTGAGAGCACTGTCTGTTAGGACCAGCCTACCCGTTAGGGCTCTGACTTGCTGGGTTAACAGTAGCTGAGTGGGAGTAATCCGTGCACACAGTCTCTCCTCCAATTCTTGCTGAAGAGCTAGGCTGGCTGGTCTGTCACTAGCAATGCCTTTAAGTACTGCAGATCCACCTGGCTCAGGAATTAGATGACCAAGACTCCTAGAGAGCTGACTCAATTCCCACACTCCATTGCCAAGCTCCAAGGAGACCCTGCTTACCTCCCCTCCCTCCCGGATAGTGGAAAATCATTCAGGGTTTCTTTTATTTAACACTAATCTCTGGAGCGATAGTCACTGTATACAGTGAGCAGGACTCACATGAATAACATCAAGGTCACTTGGGGCAAGATATAAAAGACAGCACAGTGCCTGTGAAACTGTACCCCAGAAGGAAAGTAAAAAGGAGTTAAACATCTTTAGCAGAAGAAGTGTGAGAAAATTGGTGAGAAAAAAGATATTACTATATCTTTCCTGACATTCAAAGGTTTACCTCCATGTTGATTTGTATTCTCATCCCAGGTTTGTATTCATGCTATTTGAACCACCCATAATTAATGTACAATTTTTTATAGCCAGGTTTAGCGGACAGGTTGATAAGGGATTAGCAGGTCAGAGAGGTAGAAGGAGGCAAGGCCATGAAGGGCCTTGCAGATGAGGGCAAGAATTTTGAACTTGATCCTCTGAGGGATGGGGAGCCAGTGGAGCTGGACGATGGTGAGTGCGATAGGGTCATGGAGTCTGGTGCGGGAGAGGACACGAGCTGCAGAGTTCTGGATGATCTGCAGCTTTTGGAGGGAAGAGTTAGGAAGGCCGACAAGCAACAACAACAGTGGCCTGAGGGATTAGTCGGGCAATGTTGTGGAAATGGGGGAAGGCAGAGCAGGTCATAGCACGGATGTGGGCGGGAGAAGGACAGTTGAGGGTCAAACAAGACGCCCAGGCTCAATGAGGTGGAATGTGCATCTTTGGATGTTGATGATGCCAGTGCCTGAGGTGCAGAGGCACTGGCGCGAGCCAATCAGGAGGGCCTCGGTCTTCCTGTCATTCAACTGTAAAAAGTTAGCTCTCATCCAGGACTTGATGTCTGACAAGCAGTCTATCAGGACATCAGTGATCCTGGAGTTCAAGGGTGGAGGCAGAGAGATAGAGTTGGGTGTCATCCACGTACATGTGGAAGTTTGCCCCATATCTGCGGATGATGTCACCAAAAGGGAGCATGTACAGGTTGAAGAGGAGAGGACCAAGGACAGAGCCCTGAGGAACACCGCATGAGACAGTGCGGGGGCTGGAGGAGAAGCCGTTTGTGGAGACACAGTGGAGCCGGCATAGGTAATGATTTACTTACACAGGCCAAAGAAGTTAATTTAACATGAGCCCTCCCCATTGATGTATGTTTGTACAAGATCCATAGAAGTTGAAAATGTTTGGTGCATTTTGAACTTGTCTCAAAGCAACAGACATATAGATAATCTATGGTTTTATTATTTAAAGTATAATTTCTTATTGACTGAGATCAGGTTTTTCAATAAGCATCAGAGAGTTGCTAACGTTCAGGACATGGCACAGCTTTGTAACATAAGCAGATGAATAAGAAATAGCTCGTCAGCAACTTACTCAGGTTCCTTAACAAGAAGGCCATTAATAAAATCTATGGCTAAGTTGGAGATGCTTTCAAAGTCTTCCTTTGCAAAGCTGACGTTCAGTTGAGAAATATTGAGAAATGTTTCTTGTTTGTCGTCTCCCAGGAAAGGAGATATCCCTGTCAGCATGACGTAGGTAAGAACGCCTATACTCCTAACGAGAAAAGAAAGTGGAATAAGTAGCTACTCAAACTAATTTCATTTAAATACTGATTTTGAAAGATTCCCGTTTACTTACCACATGTCTGTTGCTGTGCTGATTGGTTCATAATTGAGAATTTCAGGAGCTAAAAGAGAAAATAATTATTTAGCCAACATTAGATTTTATTGACCTATCAGACTGTTCCACGTTAGTGACTGTCAGAGAATGTTCGATAGAGACCAACAGCAGGTTTGGAAGATAATTGATCAACATTTGAAAGTGACGAGTCTAATCCTTCATCAGGATTGGAATGGTTTAGCTGCAGATGTCCCTTTATAAAGGCAGAGAAAATGGGAAATTAAATATTCAAATCTATCACTACATTCCCATTGCATATTCAAGAAGGGAGTTTCTCCCAGTATCCTGGCCAACAATCACACAAATAAAATTAGTCACTAACTTCATTGTTATTTGTGGGACATTCATCATTGTTTGTGGCAGCTGTGAATGCCTATAAATACAGTCACTACACTTCACAGTAAAATCCTGTGAATGTCTTTGAGATGTCTTGACAACATAAGGCTCTATACCAGTGGTGACCAACCTTTTGGCCATCAAGGTCAGCCACCAAAATACATTTTCTTGATTGAATATTTCTTGTGACGTCCTCCCGACATGAAAGGCGCAGTACAGGTGCAATTTGTTATTGTTGATTGATGGCATAAATCTGTCATCAATGAGATGGGCACTTCCAGCCAGCAGGCCACAGGTTGGCCACCACTGGACTATACTAAATACAAGCATTATTAATTCACCAAGAGGCAGGCAACTAATGGGTTATTAAACTAACAAATACTGTGAAGAGTTAAAAGTGCTGCACAATACAGAATGGCAAATCCTGGTAACCTTGATCCTGTAGTATCGAGAGCAGTTAGGATATGGAATGCCCTGCTGGGTTAAGGCAGAATACATATTGTCCTTCAAGAGAGAACTAGATAAATACCTTAAAAAGAATCAGCTACAGGGATGGGTGGGACTGAGGGGATTGCTCTTGAGAACCGACACAGATATGTGGGTGAGTGGCCTTCTTCTGTGTCCTCTCCCAAAAATTAAAGTACTAACATTTATCTCATTGGCTTTCACATTTGCAGGCGTGATGTATAAATAAATGAGTGTCAAATGCCTCCTTTGTGCTCAGTGCCCATCTCATTCATGACAGTATTATTATTATTTTATGGGAAGAAAACCTGCATGAATATAAATTGTTGTTTTCCTATGTCTTAGCTTTCTTTCCGTTTTATCCACTGGTTTCCCCAGTTAGCAATTCTGTTTCTACGTTCAACTTAAGCTCATGCGATTAAAAGCCTTTGTCTTTCTAAAGCCTGCATACCAACTCATTTTTGAGATTAATGATTAAAAAATGTATTCAGTTTATGTTTTCTTCTACGATTCAGTAGCAGGACAAGAGGACAGGCACAGTTTGAAGACTGCAAAGGGCAATTTTAAGACTAACACCAAAAGTAATTCTGTACACAGAAATGGGCAACTTGACGAGTAAATGAGGTCAAAGCATTGACTCAGTTAGGAAACAGCTCCATAATGAAATGGAAAGATGGTAGTTGGTATTCTGTAAGCATGAGATCAAATGGTCTTAAGAGCCTCCTTCATCCATTCTTCTTCTGTAATCCAACATTTCACATTGCTCATTAGCTGTTTACTAACTGTAATTTAGTTGATTCAGGTTTTGAACTTCTTGTTATTTTCTCTGCCTATAAAGTAGCTGCTTTAACGCAGTGTTTTCTCTTTTTATTTTGGGTTTCTAGCATTCAAGATTTTCTTTGTTGCTTCGGCTTATATAAAAGAAATAAACTCAAAACTCCCACAAAATGCCCGGACAGCACTTTTCAATAACTTGAATTGAAAAGCACTGAGGGTAATACAATAGAGCATTGCAAGATGTCGGGAAATCTGCAGGTCAAGCACGGTGTCGAAAACAATTATTAGTCTATTGCTTTTGTCTTTCAGATGGATTGCCTAGAAACTGGGTCAGTCTGTTTGTGTGTATGTTTGGTATGAGACTGTGCTGCCACAGTTCTCTCAGACCACCAGCAATGAAAAAGGACCACCTGCTAACGGAGCTGTGGGCACTGTGCAGCTTTGAAGGGAGCCCGTAAGAAAATGCAGTGGAAAACCCATAAAAATGTAGCAGGCTGCTGAAATCACAAGATTAATAATTCTACTGTTAAATGAAAGCTTGCATACAATAGAGCATTCCTTTAACACAAATTGTATGGATTCTAAAAGCAGCAATGGAATAAAGAGTGGGTGGTTACTAAACATAGTGCAAGCAATCTTGTGTTTAAGTAATGGGTTCCTTAAATGTGAATGATACCATTGACTGCCAGGCCGAGTCAACTGAAAAGCCATGCACAGGCAGCTTGTTAGCGGTCGCAGTGGGATAGTTTGAAAGTCTGAATTCCAGCCTTGATCAACATTTAAACTAGTCATCGCATTTGCTTTCAGTTGAGCTGCAAGCCAGAGCTCCATGTGGCACAAGCAGTCCTGGCCTGTAAAAGAACACCTCTGCTCTGTGAGCAGCAATGATTCCCTGGCCCAGTCTCTTGCAGCCTAGCCCATGTTTGTATGAAGAAGCGAGAATGAAAGGAGCAAAGGATTTAGAAAGACAGACAAAAACAAAATCACACACAATAGAACAATAATAAGAAATTCAGAAAGTTATAATGAAAATAGATTTAGAGATTTCAGATCCCAGGGACTTAAACACTAAATAAAGCCACTGAGACAGCTTTGGGATGTAGAACGAGATAAACAAGCAAAACTGTCCATTTGAAAACAGTCCTGTGGTTTTTAAGTGCATGTTGAAGAGGGGAAAAGAGTTAAGTTATTGACTTCCTGCAGTATCCACCATTGAGATCTTTGTAAATTCTCCCGCTGCAAATAAGAAGAATTATAAATGGGTCACGACTTACCCACATATTCAGGTGTTCCCATGATTTCTCTTAGCTCTTCGTTGTTGTTCACTTTTCTTGAAAGCCCAAAGTCAACAATCTTAATATCCCCCAGAGGTGATTCACTTGTCAGAAGAACGTTCTGTGGCTAGAATGATAGCAATGCAGAAACTTAATAGCCAAATTTTGTCCCCCTCCTTGCTCATCAGATTAAGATGACAGTTTTGACCATTGACCTGTTCCAAAATATAAACTAATAATATAAGCAGGGTTTCCCACTTAACTCAGGCAAAGGATTACAGGCTCACTCAAGCAAACAAGCACTTTAGATGTTTGAGAAGGAGGAATATTATATAGAGTATAGGGAGCGAGCGAGCAGGAAAGTAGGGATTAGTGGAGAAACGACCGCATGACACAAGCAGGCCAGATTAAGGACACAGTATGCTACAGCACACATTGACTCTAGCGCCTTTCATGTCAGGAGGATGTCTCAAAGAGCTTCATGGGATTTACTGTAAAGTGTATTGCATGTATATTTTGTGAACATGGCAGCTCACTTGTGCACAGCAATGTCCCACAAACGGCCATGAAGTGAATGTCCAATTGTATCTCAGGAACTTTTGGCCAGGAGGCCAGGCGAAATTCCCTTCTCTTTTTGAATAGTGTCATTTGATCTTTTCTCCACTCATCTCCACTTTCCTACTCGTTTCCTATACCCTATAATATTCCTACTTCTCAAGCATCTAATTGCCTTGTGAAAGAATTTATGGCCTCTGCCTCAACAACAGCAGGGAATTCTACATTCCAGCCAGTCTCTGTGGAAAGAAGTTATTTTCTAACATTTCTCTTAATTGTTTGAGTGGTTATCTTAAATCTGTCTTCTTGTTTCAGACGGTGACCAGTGGAAGTAACTAGCATAACTCTTCAATTCCTAACTCTACTATCCATTTCACACAAAAGCCACCACAAAAATTTGATACAAATTTAGATACAATACAAAATTACATTTGTACAGCGCCTTTCGCGTCGGGAGGATGTCCCAAGACCCCACACATTTATATAGTTCTTTTCATGCCAGGAGAAAATCCCAAGGCAATTGAGAGTCCTGGTGTGGCATCTGGGCATGAGGTGGGAGCTAAGGGGGTGGGAAAGGAAAAGGTGACCAAAGGGGCGGAAAAAGGTCTTGAATTGGACTTTAAAAAAGGTGAGGGGGAGATACTTACTCAGAATGGTTGGAATTCCAAAGTGGGGGCGGATAATAATAATGCTTGCATTTGATACCGCGCCTTATCACGTCTTTGAGATATCCCAAAGCACTTCACAAGATACACCATAAAGTGTAGTGACTGTGTGTTTTGTGGGAGAAACATGGCAGTCAACTGCGCACAGCAGTGTACCACAAACGTGAAAGCACTGATGTTAGGGTGTGTAGGGCGGGGGGCATGAAGCAGGCCGGTGCCTCCTGAGTGCCGGGAGTGGCTGGGTTGGTACTGTTTGAGGAATTCGCAGAGGTAGAGTGGGGCAAGATTGGCCTTAATCAACTTACTGTTGGTTGACACAAGAACAAAAAACAAACAACTTGCACCATTGGCAACAGAGACATCCCATTACAGAGGAAATGCTCCAAAAAGCATGACCAGAGTACAAATGTTTTTCCAAAATCAACATTAGTGGGTTTTTCTCAGAACTTATAACATATGCCACTAACTTCCACCACGCCATTCCATTAAGGGCTTGAGCGAATCACTGGTTTAATATCTAAATACCAAATATTTTCTCAGTTCTCAGGCTTCACTTCAGTTGTGACCACAAGAGATAGACCGACAACAAATGCCAATAGCAACCAAGTTTAGGTTTACCTTGGAATGTATTGTTGATGTGGCTTTTACTGCTTTCATGTGAGATTAGGCTGTTGTCTGAAGTTAAATAAATTTGAAACCAGAAATTTTACAATTTGTAGGTTTCACATAACTACAATGCAAGTTTACGTTTATATAGCGCCTTTCATGGACATTCCAAGGCACTTAACAATATGGCTTGGCACCCAAGCTGGGGGTGGCAAGGGGAAAGATGACCGAAAGTGCAATCAAAGAAGAAGTTTCAGATGGATCTTAAAAGAGGTGAGGGAAGCAACGAGTCACAGGGAATCCGGGATGAAATTCTACGGAATAGCAGATAGGCTGAAAAGGCCTCAGTTAACCCTAGCCTCAAATCCCCTCTCCTAAATTAACCTTTTACTTCTCGAAGTTGTTAAGCTTTTCTCCACAAATTTCCACCTACCATTTATCATTGTTCCTTGACAACCAACACCGGTGTTCAGATAGTTTCCACTTTTGTATTTAAACTCCTGCTTTAAGCCTCCATTTGGCCTGGTTTTAATTACGCACACATGATTCACTATCAAATGTGCAAAGATGAGTACAAGAAAACACTCAGAAAATATTCTGAAGTCAGTGTAAATAAATGCATCATATTTTATGAACAAGGGAAGGATCAGTATTACATCTTAGAGTAGTCCAGTTGATTAATTCATTTGCCCAGCAACAAGCCATGTGAAATAGCAAATGGGAGGTGCATTTTCAGCTAAATTGACATGGATAAACCCAATTGCAGTAGATATCAGTTGAAAATTAGTGTCAGGATCTCTCAACATTAAGGGTAGCATTGAATCAATTAAAGATGCAATAATCTAAAACAAAGTAGAGACATTTTAAAAGGAACCAAATTAAAATAATCTGTCTACCAAAACAGGCAAATGAACCTCGAGCTGGCTTTTACACATTAAGTTTTGCTACCTATTTTTTGCTACCAAGAAAATTAAAATTGTAAATCTGGTATTTTGATTCATCTTGTGAAATAATGCAAAGCCCTTGTTTGTTCATGTGTGCATAATTAAAACCAGGCCAAATGGAAGCTTAAGCAGTAGCTTAAATACAGAAGTGGAAACTATCTGAACACCAGTGTCAGTTGTCAAGGAACAGTGATAAATGGTAGGTGGAAATTTGTGGAGAAAAGCTTAACAGCTTCCAGAAGTAAAGGGTTAATTTAGGAGAGGGGATTTGAGGCACTGGGAGAGGGAGCCAACTTGGGAAGTCCAAGAATAATTAAAAGTAGTTTCAATAAAAGAAATATGATGTACACAGCAACACATTTCAGCAGCACCAAAGTTCTCAAGTAATACAAAACAGGCAGATATTAAGATAATGGGCAGAGCTGGTAATAGTGGTGAGATAGGGCCTTTCACCATTGAGAGGGTGGCCTGGGTTAAATCACTCATCAGGGTGTGCATGATGGCACATTTGTATTGTATTTGTTCTATAAGATACTTTAGAGCCAGTTTAAATCAGTTTGCTCTGAAGTGCCTGAGGCTGTTGCTGCAAGGATCCCAGCTGTTGTACTTATTGGAGCAGAATCCAAAGCACTGGCAACAGCATCCAAACTACTCATGAGGAACAAATGTTTTGCCCATAGCTGGCACATCAGGGATAACTAGCACATTTATCCTTAGGTGCTGAGTTCTCTGGTAAATGGATGAAGACTCATCAGTAATAATAATAATAATTCTTGCATTTGATATAGCGCTTTTCACGTCTTCTCGATGTCTCAAAGCGCTTCACAGAATAGACTGTAAAGTGAATTGAACGTATATTTGTGGGTGAAACGCGGCAGCCAATTGCGCACAGCAGTGTTCCACAAACAGTCGTGGATTGAAAATGACCAATTTATTATTGTTTTGTTTTGGAGGGATTATTATTAGGTGTGTGGAGTTAGGAAACTTGCCCAAGATTTTGCCCTGCCTGGATTTGAACTTAGGTATCTTGCTTGCAAGGTGAGTGCTCTAACCACTGAGCTACAGGACTCCATGGGGTAGTATGCGGTAGACAACAAACTCAGGAGGCAACAGAACCACTTGGTTCATATTACAGCCCTGTCAGACACTACCTAGTAGTAGCTCTGCAAGGAAATGTAACAAGAAACGAAAGAAAGTAATAGTCATAGTTTGATCTTGTCTCAGCTCCGAGACACTACCCTACGAGAGGGCTGCTGTATAAATTCAGGTCGGTGTTGTTGATCTGCAATTTAAAACTGAAGTTTAAAATGTTAAAAAAAACTTTTTTTTCTTGCTCAGTTACTACTGTTCGACAGGAAGATGGTGACAATGCTCTCACGCATTTCATGCTGAGATGTGTTGCCCACCGGGAAGCTCCCAGGGAGTTCCTTGTACCTATCATCGATCTAGTGAGTCAAGGCTCAAACTCGCACTTGTCGGATGTTGAACGACCAATTCGTGACTATTCTCCTGGGTGGGGGGAGGTAAGCAGGTTCTCCTTGGAGCTGAACTGGCTCCCAGGTGACATGCCTGGCAATGGAAAGTCGGCATCAATTCAGCCCTCTGTGGCGGTCTCACTCGTCCGGTTCCTGGGCCAGTCGGGTCCAGCAAGCAGCAGAAAAGCTTGCCAGACAGCGATAATAATGCCAAGCTATGAGGTTTTAGCTGGTTTTAGCTCCAGGAGTACCCCAAGCCTCGTCTCTTGCCAATCTGTGCCTAATACTTACCAGATGGAATTAGGTAAACAGGATGCATCTCTCAAGGGAGAGAGTGTGCATTCCATTCCAACAATCTATCTCTGGGATTTCCATGTGTAGGTGGGATGCATGGAAATCTCAGCTTGGTTTGGATACTCTCAAGCACAGTAATAGGTTTCCACATTTGTCAGACACCCGGCTGACCCTCCCCCCACCCAACCCCCACCCCAAACAAAAATATTTGTAAGAAGTTGCTGGAGTGGTGGAGTGACATTAATACTTTTGGGATACAAGAAGGTGAGGTCATTGAGCTCAGGAGGGGAATGTGACTGTGCCGCAGGAGAGAAACGAGTACAGGCCACAAGGCAATACTGGAATGAAAGAGTTAGTCAAACATCACACAGAATTTTTTTTTAATCAATTTAACATTATTTTAGAAATCTAAAATACACTGTACAATGTGAAAGTCCAATGTGGAATCTGTATGGAATTGAAAATGTGCTTGAGGTATCAGAACAGGAAAGCGATCTGGGACTTTTGGTGGTCAGGTTGGAACAGTGTGCAACCAGATTTAATAAAACACACAAAATATTGGATAGCTAAATCCTTCCATTTGATGTAGCACATTATTGATACAGTGCAAAATGCATTACAGTAATTACCGTTAAGGGTAATTAATAATAATAATCCTTACAAGTGAATTGACCGTATAACTGTGGGCAAAACGCGGCAGCCAAACAAACACAGCAGTGTCCCACGAACAGCCGTGGATCGAAAATGACCAATTTATTATTGTTTTGTTTTGGAGGGATTATTATTAGGAGTGTGGAGTAAGGAAACTTGCCCAATGTTTCGTCCTGTCTGGAACTGAACCCAGGTGTCTCGCTTGCAAAGCGAGCGCTCTAACCACTGAGCTACAGGACTCCACAAAAGTACGGTCGAAGAGGAAGTTCTTGAGGTGGTCTTGAAGGTGGCAAGGGAGGAAGCGAGACGGAGGGACTGCGGGATGGAGTTCCAGAGAGTGGCGGAAGGTAGTGGGACGAGCAAGGCAGGGGACGTGAAGCAGGCCAGAGCCCGCTGAGTGGAGGGAGGGAACAGGGTGGTGGGGGTTAGGATGTCAGAGAGATAGGGGGGAGCAAGATCGTGGAGGGCTTTGAAGGTGAGGACTAGGATCTTGAACTGTATCCTCTGTGTGATGGAAAGCCAGTGGAGTTGGGGGATGATAGGGTCACGGAGCCTAGTGCGTGAGAAGACACGGGCTGCAGAGTTCTGGATCTTTCTGGATAATTGTAATCAATTACAAGATTGTGCACTTGTGGGCAAACACAACAGCCTAATTGCTTATAGCAATGTCCTGTATCTTTAACAAAGTGCCAAGGACATGTTGGCAAGTGGGCGTTCTTTATGGGTGAACCTGGATAACACATGTCTGGCAAACAATGCAGGCAAACCCGTTTCGTCCTCACCCAAATAACATATACAAACACTTTCTAGCCAAGGTCAGTGGATAATATAATTTGATTTTGATTATAGCTGCCTATCACATCGTCAAGATGTCTCAAAGAACTTCAAAGGATAGAATATAAAGTGATACTGTGTATTTTGTGGGCCAACACGGCAGCCAATTTACACAAGTAATGTCCCATGGAGTTGATGACTAATTTTATTTGGGGGGACTGTTAGCCAGGATACTGGGAGAAGCTTACTTTTCTTTTCCAATAATGCCATGGGATCTTTAATGTCCACCTGAAAGGAGATAAGACTTGGTTTAAGGTCTTATCCAAAGGATATAAAAGATACAAGTAAGAACTTGCATATTTATAGCACCTTGGTAACATTCTCACCTCTGGTCAGAAGGTTATGGGTTCAAGCCCCACATTGAGATTTTAACTCACGTAGTCTAGTCTAACACACCAGTGCAGTTTGTTGCAGTGCTGAAGACACCGTCTTTCAGATGAGATGGATGTCTCCTTGTTTAGATGGATGTTAAAGATCCCATGGCACTAATCAAAAAGAAAAGGCAGTTTCTCTCTGTGTCATGGCCAACAATCCCTCAAATAAACTTGGTCACTCACTCCATGGCTGTTTGTGAGACATCGCTGTGTCACTGGGACATCCTCCTAACGTGAAAGGCGCTATACCAAATGTAAGGATTGTTATTAGTCTCCACACGGCAATTCTTAGGACTAAAGGCGTGTTAGACAAAATAGACAAGAACATTTGCTACTTACTTTTAGGTCAAGGTGGACAATGTTATTTCTGTGTAAGAAACAAACTCCCTCTAAAATCTGCTTCATGAGACGTTTGACCTCTTTTTCTTTAAAGGCTTCTTCTCGGTCAGCGACACACTGGTTGAAAATTTCGCCACCAGCAGCACTGTACAGGAAAAACAGAAGGAAATGCAATGTAAGTGTATGCAACACCATTCCAAATCTTTTAATTTGCCCTATCCTGTGTGAGGGGCACTGTATAAATACAAGTTGTAAAAAATAATAGAAGTAAATCCAGGAATTGCATGCAATCTCTTAATTCTGAATCTCAAAAAAAAAACATCACAGGAAAAAGCCCCAACATGTCCTCATTAAATTTTTTACACATGAAACATTTGTTCTGGGTTATTATACTCTGTATATTAATAAAAATGTGCGGTTAGCAGTTCTCCCGACTCAGCCCTTTATCACTGCGGGAATGAAACATCCCTCCTTAGGTTCAGCCCACTTCGACAAGACAAATCACACTAAACACAAACAGACAGCTATACATTAATAACCCTTGCCTTTGACTGTAGTATGATTAGGTGTCAGCCTGCCCTCAATTGAAAGCATTTTCATCTCTGAAGGTTATGGGCTTCAGGCGGGACTTGAAAAAGGGGAGGGGGCAAGGCGGAGGGATTGAGGGAGAGTGTTCCAGAGTTTCGGAGTGTAGTGGCTGAAAAAGCAACTTCTGATGGTGTGGCGGAGTGTGCAAGGGACGAGCATTACTAACAATAATACTATTATTAATAATGAGAATAATTATGTGCGAAACAATTATAATTACAATGAAAGACGCTATACAAATGTAATTTGTTGTGAAAACTTCTCAAAGAGCTTTACAAATAATTGCTGTTTAGTGTAGTGATTGTGCAATTGTTGGCAAACACCAAAAGTGTACTGTACTTCACACAATAGCAGGTCCAAAGGGCACCTGATTTCCAAACAAACCTGGCTCCAGTGAGATGCTCAATAACAAGATTGCCCTGTAATAACAGCATCATTTAAAACAGCTCAAACAAATACATCTGCCTTCAGATCAAATCTCCCTAGAATATTATTTATAAATCCAGTTAAAAAAAATCCCTTTATAACATTAAACCTGCTCAAGACATGTGGCTTTTCAAATTATTAATTTTTTTAAAAAAATTAAAGATTCCAAACTTCAAAACTTGTGCTTTATAAGAGCTTTGTCTTTGATTTCAAATAAGATTTCAAAACTGAGCCCCGAGGAAAGAAAGGCAACCAGCACGTTTCAATACCGTCACCGGCTTTCAATCTGAAAACGTAGTTATCAACGTTTGAGGCACTCGGTCCTTTGTTAGTCTTGATCTGAAAGGCAGAATCCTGCTTTCCAAAAGGGATTCACACAATGATTAGTCACGGCATGGCTACGTAACTGCTGGAGACCACAGAATGGTCAGGCGACATTCAAAACCATTGTGACAATGCCAACTACTTTTAGTTTCACAAAAGCAGCCATGAATATACTGAATGTACTGTACAGCCACTGGAGATCCCTCTGCTTGTTTAGATATAGACATAGACCATTAATATGGCAAGACTTTCACCATAGCCCTATTTTCAAAGATTAAACAAATAAAGATTACCAATACATTTGGCCAGTACAGATTATTGGACCCAGGATTCTGTGAAAGCTTCTTATTAATCTATGAACCTGTCTGAAAACTGAAGAAAAACAATCAGTTATAATTGTCAGTTATCTATTCATCTTAATAATAATAGTTGCATTTGATAAAGTCTTTTGTTGTGTCTCGGAATGCTTGGTGACGCATAGGCAGACTTCTAACTCTGTGCACTTGACAGATATTAATGGTTCTATGACTAAAACTATTGGCTTCTTCAGTAATCTCCTGAAGGGAGCCAGGATAGGAATACTGTTTCTTTTTACATATAAATTTTCTTAAAAATGCTTTGGTGAAAGATTTTAATTTCTGCAGTTTAATTTGCAAGTCAGAGAAATTTCATCTGGATTTTCCCGTGGGTTTGCGGTTAACTACTCAGACCTAATTTCATGCTGACCAAAGCAGCAAAAATGTAAACCAGCCAATTTCCATATGAGTCTCATAAAATCTGCCAAAAAAAACCCTGAAGAATTTCACAACATGGACTATTTAAATGCAACATTTATGAAATTCACATGAAGCAGATAAAAGCAAAATCCAATTTATGTCAATGAGTCAAACTTGCAGGTTTAGTTCATTTTATATTTTCATTGTTATTCAACATTAGTCTGTTATCAAAGCAGGACACATTTTTCACATATGCACTGAGAATTCACAAAGCCAAAGTCTCTTTAATCATTGAATGCAGAAGTTAACTAGGCAAAGCAAAACCTGGATCATATTCATAATTTGTCATTGAACAGCAATGTTGACGTGTCCTGGCACAATGAGAGGCAGTGGAGGAACAGATGAGCTTTCCGTTCCCACTTGCAGTCTCACCACATCTCCAGTTGTTCCCTCCTTCCAACACCGAAAACAGCAGGACTGGTGTGGTGGAAGGAGCACCACTCGACAAAGAATTTTAATAATTTATTAACCCAGCAACATCGCTCAGAGCTGCCACTGTCTTGCACCACAGGCCACCGAGACCCTCATACACACATTCATAACATCCAGGCTTGACTATGCAAACTCCTTGCTTGTCGGGCTCCCCAACTCTCCCTCCATAGGCTGCAGATCATCCAGAACTTTGCAGCCCGTATCCCCTCCCGTACCAGGCTCCGTGCCCCTATCACCCCCATCCTCGCATGACTCCACTGTCTTCCCAGCACACAGAGGATACAGTTCAAGATCCTGGTCCTCATCTTCAAAGCCCTCCATGGCCTTGCTCCCCCTACCTCTGAGACCTCTTAACCCCTACCAACCCGCCCACTCCCTCCGTTCAGCAGGCACTGGTTGTCTGATTGTCCAGCACCTTGGAACGTCCTCCCGATGTGAAGAGAGCTATACAAATGTAATTTTGGTGGTGGTGTTTTGAAGAACATACTCTTCTCCCTAATCTCTTGATATGTAAATCTACCACCAATTATTCTTAAAGTGTAAAACGAAACATTCTCCTCGTGCAAGTGTCATGGGCCTAATAATGACCAAGTGATGATTTTACTTCTCTTTGTTGTGGAGAGTCACTAAGTAAAGCCTGGGCATTGGTTCGGGTATGGTTGAGGTCAGGAACTGAGAACACATGACAATTGAACCAGTATTGGAGCATTGGAGCCCCAACACATCATTCTTCTTGCAGTATTGCTTTTTAAAAGTTTAGCATTCAAAACGTCCTGTGCTCCTCAAAGGGAATAATAACAAAACTGCACATCACAAAAGAGAAATGCCAATTATGATCTGAGAGACAAACATTTACACAGAAAATATGATGTTTAGTTTGTAATGAGAGCATTTGTGTGTTGGGGGGGTGCAAACTATTATTTCCTTCAGTAAAGCTTCTAACTTTAGGATAACAAAATTGTCTTACTATAAATCTATGAATAATTTTATTTTGTTTCGATATGAATGAGTGCTGCTTTTTACTGTATGCTTAGTAGATGTTGATTTGAATTAGCATGTATAAGTTTCATGCGAGCTGCTCAGTCAAATGGAATAAAGGTCATGACCATGTGCTTATCTTTGTGGTGCAGAAACAGTTACAGTGAATATAGTAGGCACGACTTTAAAGGGATGTGACCATTTCAATACCGGGTTTGAATAGGCTCACTGAGCTGTACAATTACTATATCCATGAATTTTGTTCGGTTTTTGACGGAAAGATGGTTCCCAAAGTTAATTTACAAATATATAGTGCCTTTCACATCTGGAGGATGTCTCAAATTGCTTGACACAGGAATCCGACTCCAATCTTGTGGAGATAGGGGGTGGCGGGAAAGGGAGATAGCCAAAAACATGGCCAGAAAGATAGGTCTTACAGCGGTTTTGAAGACAGGGAGGGAGAGGGACTCCAAGACAGAGTTCCAGAAAGTAAGGGCAGAATGATTGAGAGTTCCCCCACCGATGGTGGAGTGGATAGCATGGGGGAACATGAAGTAATCTGGTATTTGCTAAACAAAATGAAAAGCTCATGCAATCCTGACAAGAGTAAAGTCAAACTAATGCTCATTCCATTTACACTGCAGAGTCAACATCGATTCAATAGTGTGCACTCACAGCTTTAGGATCATTGATTTGATTCAGAGCACCCCAACTATGAAGTAGAATCAATGCCCATCAGCTGGTGTAGAAATTGGGCTTGGGTTTAAAAGTTCTGGTCCAGTCCAATGGATTGTCACCAACCTTGTTAAATGTATTAAAAACAAGTTGCACTAACCATCACCCTGCATTGCTAACTGGAATTCTATGTATGGGCATGTGTGTAGATCTCTCCTCTCTCTGACAGCAACAGGTCTGTATAAATCAGGTTTCCCTACTCTGAACTCCTCTGCTGCTGAAAGCCATGTCAAAGTTCAACAGCCATATATAAAAGGGACACATGTACATCTCATGTCAAACAGGAGTTCAGAACCTTAGCTCAAGCTTTGAGAGATTCAAATTCTCTGAATGCTATTGATAATACTTGGTGACTGAGGAATCAATGAATTGCACGGCATAGAAGATTTAACCGGGCAATTGATTATGCTCCTTTGCTTTGAAAAAAATGCACGATTATTTTGAACATTTGAAGTCAAGTCAGTGCAAAAAAATGTTTGAAGCTACTCTTGACCATTGTAAGAAAATTCCATATTCTGATTGCATATTTATTCTGTTTGAAAAGCCAAAATCCCAGCTCACTGTCGTTCATATAAAGATGGCAGAACTGCGGGAATCTACTGTCCATTGCTGTGAAACTGGAATCGCACGGAAAAACAACCCCACTAATTCTAATTCAATTAAAGCTACTCATGGGAGTGCATTTCAAGGGCAGCAACATATTTCAGGATTGATATTAAAGTAATAAACGTGAAAGAGAAGTTCAAGTAGTTTATTTTGTTAACAGAAAGTCTGCATTCTATATTCTGGTGATATAATCTTTTCTTTCCCTTCATTGAAAACCTTAGCAAAGGCCATAACCCATATTGCAGAACAGTATCGAGGCTAAAAAGAACAGAGAATCAAG